CATAGAAGATCTACATGGCAATAAAATGGACTTAATATTCTACTAATTAAATCTATCTAAAATTTTACCCGTCACAGTGTATAAAAAGAATCTATCTTATGGTAGTACAATTATCCATGATTGTATTATAGAATATAAAAGAGGAAAAATTCACCCTGATATGAAACTAACTTATCTAGTTAATGACATATGATAGGAAGAACCAGTTTTAGTTCAACAAGAAAATGCATATTCTCAACTTTATGAAATGTTAGGTATTATCTCCTCATTCTCTTATTAATTTCTCATCTATCTTAACATTTGTTAAAATATATTTATTTGAGTGAAAGCTAAAGTGTTTGCAGTATGATAAATAGCTTAAAATGGATATAATACAATATAATCATTTTTTTAATTATTTACAAACCAAATTTTACCAGATAAATTAACACTAACTCAGTAACAAAAATTAGTTAAACAATCTAGATATTTTGAAATTAAAAATAATTATTTGTATAACCATATTTGCCAAAAGCTTCTTAGAGTTATTCGATCACATGAAATGGAAGCTTGGAGAATATTATATAGAGAAAAAAAAATCTGGGAAAAGCGATGACATAGATTCTTATAGATGGCTCTCGTGCTAGATAAAGGAATCGATCAAACTACTACGCAGGTTCAAGCTACATGATTGAGAATGCGAATTCTGTTGATAATAGGTAAATGATGAAATTCATCGCATATATGTTTCAATTTTTTTCTTTCCAGAAATCAAGCAAATACTAATGATGAAAACCACACTACTAATACGCAAGATAACTCGGAGGATCTAATGCAAACATCCCATATACATAAAATAAATCAAGTACCATCCTTAAACTTTTTTTTTTATTAGTTTATTAATCAAAAAATAAAAAAATTATTTTAAAATTATAGATTTATTATAAATATTTAATAATGTAGTTAACTTCTTTGGGTTTCGTTAGATAATGTTTTTATTTATTTTTGTTCAGTATTAAAATATTTTCTCCGCATCGTTTTCAGCCTCAATTATTGCGGTTTTTCAAAAAAAGCAGCTAAAATTCATTTTATTAACAGCATTATTCCATGAAGCAAATTGAATTATACAAAATTCGAAATAATAATTATTCCTTGCAGCAACAAAAAGCTAATATTATTACATAAGGATTCATTTTGTAATTCACGAATAATGATCTATCTTTAATATAGAGTGTCTGCTACTTTCAGTATATTAACGTAAGAAAGCCTTGATGGTCTCGTTTGCACTTGTGATTCCTCAAAAGCTTCTTTGATCTTCAGAACTAGCAACTAAATTTGTAATTTAATATTAATATGTTAATGTAAAGTCATATATTGTAATAAAAAGAATACTTACAGCCCTCTTTATAATACATTCATAAAAAATATGAACTCCCTTATCTTTGTAAAGTCACGTGATATATTGGCGTTATCTACTTCATTGAGACAGAATTTTCCTCCTAAGATTAGAATTATCATTAGTCAAAATATAATGAGTAAATAACACAGATAATAATAAATAAATACCACAGTAATCATAAACTGTAAATGTATTCGAAGTCGAAAACTTTGACTACCAAAAATGGCAAGATTTTTGGATAGTCGCCTTTTACATTTTGCGTTATCTTTGAATACGTTTATAAAAATTTTTCGTAGGTTTTTGGAGATTTTCAAAGCATCTGCTATTTCTTTATCATCTCTGACATATGGCCTTATACCTTTCATATAAACTAATTGATATTTGTCTGTATTATTTAAAAATCTTATACCATCTGCATATTCTCGTTTATAGTTTTTCATGGTTATCTCCCCAATTCATAAATTAAAGATGAGATGTACCATAAGCTAGCCTGCAGACATGGATACACAAATGCATTTAAATGTGGTTTTTCTAATGCAGTCAAATTCAAAAGAGGATTATTTATCCTAGTGAAAATGCATAATACTATAAAAGTTAAGTAGATGCCGTAACTAAAATTCAATAATTTGTAGGGAAAATGTTTATACTTACAAAAAATGGTAAAGTCCTGCCTAAGATTCTTATCATTGAAACCATTAAATGATCAGTTTTATCTGTACAAATTAGGTTATCAATCTTTTCATTCCAATCACTGCTCGTTAAATTCTGTTTGAAAAATTTCGTTAAAAAGTCGTGGATGTTTGATGAATCAAACTATCGATCCTATCATCGAGATATTTAAGATAATTGCAAGAATGTTTAAAGGGAGTTGTTTTGTAAAATTTGAATTGGGTCTCAAATCAATCAGAGGATCATTTGGGTAGATTTCATTGTGGTATTGACAGATTGACATTATATTGTCAGAACAGGATTCAAACAAATCTTGTAGTGACAGGTCCTATAAAAATAAATAATATAAATACATTTCCTATTTTGTACATTTACAAGAAGAATACGCATACTCACTGCTACCATTTGATCATCTTCTATTTCACGATTCTGTTCGAAAGATTTTTTGTTTTTAATGTAGAAAAATTCAGTAATTGTATTAACAATCATATTTATAGATAATTATCTCATACAATGCATCAATAACTACATATGTGGCCTTTGCAATAGAAAGGGAGGAAACTCTAATAAACGTGATTTTGAGATATTTAGGTTTGAAAGTTTTTGATAAGTAAACAGATTGACAATCCAGCAGTATTAAAAATAGATATTAAAATTAAAATATATCTTTATTTTTAACAATTTTTTTATATTATAAATTATTATTTCTGCTAGAATTTTTTTGACTTTCTCACTTTTTCTTCAAGTGGAAGTAAGCTTTTATGGGTAAGATTAATTTCTTATAGAATGGTACTAACCGTCCTTTTCTTTCTTTTTTTTAGGAATCAGCTTGGACTTTTTCTCAACACGGACTTAGGGTAAGTTTTTTATAGGTAGGCGTGTTAGTTCTTTCTTTTAGAATGATACTGACCGTTTTTTCTTTCTTCTTTTTTTTAGGAATCGGTTTGGACTTTTTTTCAAAATAGACTTGTGGTAAGTTTTTTATAGATGTGTTAATTCTTTCTTTTGGAACGGTACTAACCGTTTTTTCTTCTTTTTTTTAGAAATCAGCTTGGACTTTTTCTCGAAATAGACTTGTGGTAAGTTTTTTATGGGTGTGTTAATTCTTTCTTTTAGAACGGTACTAACCGTTTTTTCTTCTTTTTTTAGAAATCGGCTTGGACTTTTTCTCAAAACAGACTTGTGGTAAGTTTTTATGGGTGGGTTGTTAATTCTTTCTTTTAGAACGGTACTAACCGTTTTTTTTTTCTTCTCTTTTTTAGGAATTGACTTGGACTTTTTCTCAAAACAGACTTGTGGTAAGTTTTTTATGGGTGTGTTGTTAATTCTTTCTTTTGGAATGGTACTAACTGTTTTTTCTTCTTTTTTTTAGGAATCGGCTTGGACTTTTTCTCAAAATGGACTTGTGGTAAGTTTTTTATGAGTGTGTTAATTCTTTCTTTTGGAATGGTACTATCTTTCTTCTTTTTTTTAGGAATCGGCTTGGACTTTCTCTCAAAATGGACTCGTGATAAGTTATTTATAGGTGGGTTGTTAATTTTTTCTTTTAAAACGGTACTGTCTTTCTTCTTTTTTTTAGGAATCGGCTTAGACTTTCTCTCAAAACAGACTCGTGGTAAGTTTTTTATGGGTGGGTTGTTAATTCTTTCTTTTGGAACAGTACTATCTTTCTTTTTTTTTTAGAAATCAACTTGGACTTTCTCTTGAAACGGACTCGTAAGTTTTTTATGGGTGGGTTGTTAATTCTTTCTTTTGGAACAGTACTATCTTTCTTCTTTTTTTTAGGAATCAACTTGGACTTTCTCTTGAAATGGACTCATAAGTTTTTTATGGGTGGGTTGTTAATTCTTTCTTTTGAAACGGTACTATCTTTCTTCTTTTTTTTAGAAATCAGCTTAGACTTTTTCTCGAAATGGACTTGTGGTAAGTTTTTTATGAGTGTGTTAATTTTTTCTTTAGAACGGCACTAACCATTCTTTTCTTTCATTTTTTTTAAGGAATTCGCTTGGACTTTCTTAAGCGAACTTGTAAGTTTTTTATTATAGGCGAGTTAATTTCTTTCTTTCAGTAACTAACCATTCTTTTTTCTCTTTTTTTTAGGAATCGGTCAACTTTTTTTTTAAGTGAATTTTATGGATTTAATCAGATAGAACGAACCTTATAAAGAATAGTGTTCTTTTTTATTAGTTGAAGAATTTTTACACAAACATTTTTATGAAATCAATTTTAAATAACAATGACGTAATATAAAATCAGAAAAAAA